AATCTTAATATATTCATGTTGTCGTGGAAAATGACCATGTGCCCATATCGCAAGTAGGCCTACTATACAGTGCGTCCCAGAAAAAACGAAACCGAGAATTTATCACAATTATAATTAATAAATGACATATATTTGTTAAAGCATAGATCCTCCTCTTTCATTTGATGTAACTCATATGATGCATATTTCACGCACGAGTGATTAAAAACAAATTGAAGAGAGGGTTCCAAAAAAGTCATTTGCGGGCGTTATCTGAATTTCAAAGAGAAAATCACATTTCTAGAAAGTTTATTTTCTGCCCTTTCATAGGACACCTCAATCAGGAATAACAAAGTTCTGTTTGTTTAAATTAATGCTTGCATTTCCATAATTTGATGAAACGAATTGGTTTTTACTGGTTGCCTGCCATAGCAACGAGCAGGCTTGACAAAAGACTTAACTCCGTTTCGTTGACAATCAGCCATGCACAAAGAGGACGAAAGAGCCCCCGAAGCTTAGGGGTTTTGGGCATTAAATTTCCATCAGATTAGCATCCAGTGGACCGCCTTAAGGCAAGCGAATCACTTAAAGAGCGCGCGTGGGGGAGGGGATGGGTGAAAGGCCTCCCGCGCGAAACGCAGTAACTTAGACGTTTCATTAAATTATTATGAAAGAAGACGATTTGTTGTACCGTTCTCGACTCTTAATCCTTGTCTGTATTCAGTTTCCCCATCCCACGCGCAGCGCGGAAGCTTTGACGTTTCATTAAGTTATATAGAAAGAAGACGATTTGTTGTATACCGTTCTCTACTCTTAACCCTAATTGTCTGAATTCAGTTTCTCCCCCTCTCGTGCGAAGTGCGGGAGCTTCAACGTTTCATTAAATTATTAGAAAAAGAAGACGATTCATTGTACCGACTATTGTCTGAATTTTCAAAAATGTTTCTTTGTCCGATAAAAAGTCACAGTTCGAAGGGGAAAAAAATTGCTGGCCGACCGACATAACAAAAATCCCACCGACTTCAACCCCACACCCCCCCCCCCCCCCCTTTGCGACGCCCCTGAATGTAGAGTGGCCTGAGCGGGTAGGCACACGGCGTGGTTCTAAACTTACAGAGACACTTCGATGAAGACATCCTTATTTCATGATTGCGTGTGTTGAACTGCCCTGGACTTTACAACTTTAAACCCCCAGGGTTTATTTTGCATATATAGGTATTTATCAATATCATAGGTAGCAAATAAAGGATGACTAAAAGAGAATGAAAAACAAACAGATAGGAGAGGATGATCGAGCATAATGATGTGCACCAATCTATAATGATAATGATAAACCGAGCCCGGCCAAAATATAGGGGGGGGGGCTCAATGATATCCGAGCCCCTCACAAAATATCGGGGGGCTCCGTGATGTTATCCGAGCCCCACAAAAAACAATGGGTGATATCTGAGCCCCACCAACATATGGGGGGAGGGGGTGGGCTCAGAGATATCTGAGCCCCACCAAAATATGGGGGAGGGGGGGGGGCTCGCTCAATGATATTAGAGTCCCGCCAAAATATTTGGGGGTTTCAATGATATCCGAGATCCACCAAATATATTTTGGGGTCAATGATATGCGAGATCTGATGTCTGAGCCCCCCCCCCCCCCCCCCCCCCCCCCCCCCCCCTCCAATCCCCAAATAAATATTTATAAAATGTTTATATTTTTCCTCACCCCTGGATCCGCGCCGGGAAGACCTGTAGTGTCATCCCTAGCTAGCTGTCAAATCTGAATATGGGTTATCCAGTCGTTTCATTCATTAGTATAATTATACTTGTATTGACTATGTATACGTGTGGACTAGAGTACGGACATTCGGTGCGGCAGGCGGACTATTGGTGCGAGACCTCTTCCGCACAGATTGTCCGTCAGACATTTGAGACGCGCACGGAAAGTATGATTTTTGTATACATATCAAAGTAATATTTAGCATATTTAAGCTCAGTGTGTGTAATATCGAGGATGGGAATGTGAGAATGTCTCGTGATTCAGCTTTGATGGCAGCCAATAATTTTTTTAAATCATTCTATCTGGTTATCTGTAAAAATTAAAAATAAATTTCGCTTTTCGTTGTTAACACTTTCTGATGCTGATTTAATGATTGTTATGTTTAGAAACAGGTGCATTCAAACTAACATGCCATTGAAAGTAACATTCCGTTGAAGCTAACTTAGAAATGCAGTGCAGCTGTATTTAGGCACTGCTCATTGTTATTCATATTAAAGATGCAGGCTATTCGATTCAGTTTTTTAAATAGCTCGCATCGGCTATATTTGAATATTTACGTAACAAACTACTCAGCTCTTTCTAACATGGCATCAATTAATGAATTGAAGAAAAGAACGGACACTCCCTTCATCGAGTGAATACTTTCGTCATTGCGAGGATTTCCAAAGACTGAGGTAGAAATAGCATTCCTGACATTGCAACAAATACCGCATTATTTTGATGACGTAATGGTATCGAAATATAAGAAAGGAAAACAAGTTCAGTTCAAGACAGTTCAAAATAATGCTGGGAAATTGAAATTAAAATGATACCGTCGTTTTAAATGTCCCTTTTGCAGCCAACCTCAAATGCTGTAGAACTTTGCAGGAATTATGAATATGTCATGTATGTCCTATCTGTGAAATTTAAACGTTAGCAGTGTCCTCATATTCAAATTATGCAAGGAAACCCGTTTACTTGCTAGACTTCACTGTCAGACACTATTGAGTGACTGACTGGCTTTTTCTTCTTTGGTAGTAACATACATGAAAAGAGTTGTAAAAGGTATATGAGCATTTGTCTACATCAATAACCCACTTCTTGTGATGGCCAAGATTAAACTGATTGAATCTTTTCGCAGCATAAAACGATGACCATTCGGTACAATTGTCTGAAAATCAATACTATTACTTTTGAGCTCTATAGCCCTAAAGTCGATTTGACAACTAATAGTCGTTATTTTCCCACTTGAAGACATTTCAAGCCCCACCTTTTTTTAGGGAAGTTTTAAATTAGTATTATCTTTCAAATGCAGTTGGAATTTAACGTTTTCATTTTTTTTTTGGCCTGCAAATGGGACATAGTACCTTTAAAAACCAGTTAGATATGGTTTTTGGACAAGAAGCATGAGATAATTCATTGCTCGGCAATCTGGACTCTATTTGAAACAGAGCATCCAATATTCCTGATATTTTAATAGTATACTGTCAATGAAAAAATATAACTAAAAAAAAATAATAATAATGGACCTCTTTACCCAAGGCTGTGTGTCTTTGTCGAGCAGAAAATGATTCTGCTCGGGTATGCAGGCCAGTTGGGCTTGAATAGACTTGAATTGAAAGACCCTTTGTTTTACCTCGCGAAGTTTGGGTGCTTTCATATGAGAAGTAAAACATTACCCATCATTGAATTCATGTTGCAAAGTTGTTTACAGACTGGAAAAGGATAGCATGGGAGTGTACAGAGTGAATAAAAGGAAGAAAGTAGTACTGAAAATGTAAAAAACTTGTTTAACCTGGCAATAAAGAACTCTTGAATGTAGTTTAAAAATTGGACATGGCTTTGGGGCTAACGCTACCGGCCACCGCCAGCTAGCTGACGACCTCCAAGAAAAAAGAAAAAGAAGAAAGTCCCCCCCAAAATACACTAGCTGGGGATCGAACCCGATACCTTCCACTGACTAGGCGGTTGCTTATCCACGAGACCACTTTGCCTCACTGCGATTACCTGGTTCACTTTTAGTTCTTAACACTGTGCATTTAGTTGTTTACACTTTCAGCTAGCTGACGATAGGCGCAGCTACCCCCTAAAGCAGACGCGGATCCATGTGGCCGGGAGGGCCTCACCCCCCCCCCCCCCCCCCCCCCCCCCCCCGCAAAAAAGAGAGAGAGAGAGAGAGAGAAGGAAAAAGGGAAAGAGAAAGAGGAGAGAAAGGGAAAGAAAAAAGAAGGGGAAAAAAGGGGGGAAGAAGCAGATCATTAAGGGCCGAAAGGGTCTTGGCTACCAGCTGTCACCCCCCCCCCCCCCCCCCCCATTACAAAATAAGAGAGAATGACGAAAAGGGAAAGAAAAAGGAAAAGAAGAGATAAAGGGAGGGGAAAAGGCAGAGGCAAAGGCCTTTCTCCGCGATCTTGGGGGGTATATAGTGAGCACCTTTTTTGGGGGGCCCTCGAAATTTTAACAATTTGCACCCCCCCCCCTCCCCCCCCCCCCTCCCCCCCCCCCCTCCCCCACCCCCCCCCCCCCCCCCCCCCCCCCCCCCCCCCCCCCCCCCCCCCCCCCCCCCCCCCCCCCCCCCCCCCCCCCCCCCCCCCTCCCCCTACTAGATCCGCCACTGCCTGTAGTTTCATCCCTAGCTAGCTGGTTAAGCTGAGTATGGGTTATCCAGTCGTTTCATTCATTAAGTATAATTATATCTGTATCAGGGATATGAGAGTATATCTCTGTTTGTTTTGACTATGTATACGTGTGGACTAGAGTACGGACATTCGGTGCGGCAGGCGGACTATTGGTGCGAGACCTCTTCAGCACAGATTGTCCGTCAGACATTTGAGGCGCGCACGGAATGTCCGACACGGACATTCTGCGCGGATAAAATCCGCACCGATCGTCCGCTCTCGATCGATCTCTAATAGTCGGACGATCGGTGCGGGTTACATTCTACGCGGTCACACCGGGTCCAACTTCCAATAATACACAGATCCTCATTGGACAGAACAAAAACACTCATTATATCTATAAAAAGAATGAATATTTTTTTAAACTTTTATATTAGTACATTTTATCTATAATGGGAGAAATAAACATCATAATGAAGTCTGACTGCTAAATATGAGATTGAATTCTTTCTTTGTTCACTGAATTTTGACCAAAAGAAAATTATACTATAGTACAATAGTCTACTAAGGTACGAAAGCTCTCATTGGTCCATTACTTACTGTGCCGTACGTGGATGGAAGAGCTACAGTGTAAGTATAATTCGACGCTCGAGTATTAAAAGTTGGAAAATACTACTTTCTTTCACCTTTTATTATGATCTGCTGGAACAATGTCGAGAATGTCTTAATTTCAGGAATTATAAATTGTGGAGACCCAATTTTCTGATGATATTGTTAGTGGATTAGCAGTATTTATACAATTGCATGCCTGCTCCAGCACTTCTGCCAGCGGAACCGCAATGTGAATCACCCCTGGTGTACCCCGGTACAATACATGACATATCCGGTCAGCGTTGTTGTTGCAGACCGGCATGTCTAGCTAGACTCTAACTTAGACGGAAAAAAGTAAAAAAAGTAAAATAAATAAGTAAACTTTAGGCTAAAGCTTCAGCCTCTGATCTCGATGGGTTTTTTTTTTAGACTACGTCTGGCTCCACTAACCACCTTTACAGGAGAAGATGGACAAATGCCAGTTTGTATTACTATTAGATCTAGTCTATTTAATTTCCCGTAGACTAGTCTAGGTCTAGTCTAGATCTAGGTAAATAATAATAATAATAATAATAATGTAACTTATATCGCGCCAAATCCACTCTGTGGAGTGCTCAAGGCGCGTGTAAACAGGAAAAAAGATCAAGACTTGAAAAGAAATGTTTTGAGATGAGTTTTGAAAGAATCAGAGGATAATTTTTTTTTGATGTCTTCAGGAAGGCCATTCCATAATTTAGGACTAGAGTATGCAAAAGATTAGATTAGATTAGATTAGATTAGATTAGGCGTAGCCGCAGGGCGGTAGGCCTACCACAAATCACTGACCAGGCCATGTTGATTGTCGTGAGTTGACCTCGCGCTTATTTCAAATTCAAGGCTATCTACATGTAGGCAAAATTTAGGGAGGTCAGGATAACATCACACACTAAAGTAACAACTGTATTGCGTGTCTTTGTAATGTTCTGAATCTGATTGTGCATGCAGTAGTCTAGTCTTTGAAGTTTGACTTGTCTTTGACTCTTTCACTTTGATTTTTTTTCCCTGTTCTCTGGTTCTGTTTCCATACAACCTTAACTCCAGGGAGCTCCAACGACGATTCATAAGTGTCAGAGCTTTCTGGGGTTGGTGTAACCTGGGCCCTGGGGGTTGTTTCAAGAAACCAACTGCAGTAGGGGCGCTGGTCCGAGAATAAGGATCGTCTTCACAAACGAGGATTGTCTTCGAGAAACACGGACCGATGCATCCTCAAAAATAAGGACCGTCTGCATTTTGCAGACGTTTCATATTTTTGATCGGCACATTGGCGATGCAAAAAACAGATTCTGCAATGATTTTCTTGATGCATTTTACATTGACATTGTACAGAGACATTCACATTTTAAGCAATAAATCCTTGGGAAGACGGACAACCCATAAAAGTAGACGGTGAACTAGGGTTATTTTCCCCCAGGGAATCCATTTTTGGCATCGCCAGCGGGCGGTTCTGTAACATGAAACCCCCAGAGCGCCGATGAAAAAAAACGTCCTCGAAAATGCAGACAACCCTTATTTTTGAGGACGCATTTTGTCCTCGTTTATGAGGATATCCTTGTTTATGAGGACGATCCTCATTCTCGGACCAGCGCCCCTACTGATGACAGTCATAATTGTATCTTTGTCAGCGACCTACATGTATGGAGATGTCAGGAAGTGGATAAACTGCTTCACAAAACCATGTCCATTATCAGTGACAAATATGTGAAAGGGGCTGTCAGTAATCTTTCTTTGTTGAGTGTGTGTGAACATGTACAGTAGTCCTGTTGTTATTGTTTTAGTTTATAGGCCTTTGTCATTCAGAAGTGAATATTTAGGCCTCTTCTCTTAGGATTTTTTTTCCTTTAAGATTAGGTTTTTTTTTTTTTCATATATAATCTAGATTTTGATAAATTGGATTTTTAATAGTTAAACCGTTTATGTTGAAGAATTCGGTGGCTGGCGAGCAAAAGGCCTATCGGCTATATAGGACGCCCAAGGACCAGCTCGGACACGGTACATTGTGTCAAGCTTCTCAACTCAGCCTAATGCTGAGCCTAGGCCCTCCGACGTCCACCAATAAGTATAGTCGTCTCCACCGCGTTTCTTCAAAATTTTGTCCAAAAACCAATAAGAAAAAGAACATATACATGAAGATTCTAAACGATTATATAGGCAGTTCTCTCTTCTAAATTTTGTTTTCCTTTTTGTTTCACTATTCTTCTTCTTCATGTATTACTCACTATAAAACAGCGAAACTTCTTGGGCTCAAATATTTATGTGCGGTGCAAAGTGCATGGTTAGTAGGGGTACAAGTGTACCCTTTTGGTTTTAACTACAAAGTTGACCAGAGCCTGAAAAGGACTGTTGGTAGTCTTGAAACAGACTGTTGGTAATCTTTCTTGAGCTTATAGTTGAAGAGGATGGGTAGTGGAGTATATAAAATTGATGAAAATAAATTTTAAAAATAAACGTTATGACTCATAGTTTTAACATTTATATATATCAAATGTTTATGTGATATGATTTTTATCAAGATTTGGTTTGAAAATCAAAAATTTCTTGAGAAATCCCTTCACAAAAAAGTTGTCATTCTCAGAATGGGTATGTAACTACATGTACAGACTATTTGATCTTCAGCGACTTTTTTATGGTAGACTGATGTACAGTACAATATGTACAAATTATATTTGTCTTATTTACTCATTAATGCATTAAAACCTTTTAAGAACAGTTTGTAGGTTTTTTCTAAGGTCAAATATTAACACTATTAGAAATGATAAGTGAAATGAGAGCTTGAAGATCAAGAAATAAGTTTAAGAAAATAAAATTTCAGTTTTTATTTTTTGCTGCCCATAGACTAACTCAAAGTTGCCTTAAGATGGCGTTCTAAATAAATATGATGCGGGTTTGGAGTCATGACAAGCAATTGTCACGGAAGTTGTCTCTCATATTTGCAAAGACAGTTTTGTGAAACACTTAGCGGACAAGTTGAGCGACATTGTCAAGATGTCGTTGATCTTGTAGTTATGATGGTTTCTGCACTAGTTTGGCCAGGAGGGAATAGACCTCCTTGCATGGTCACTGGCAGGTGCTTATCTCATCAACTCAGCTCTCAATTAACACAAGAAAAAGAGGATCATGGGGGACCAATGGTCACTGATTAGGCATTGTTTTCTATATACATGTAGAGGGAGCAAGTACTGTAGATACAAGTAGTACAGCAGGGCTTTAAGAGGCCTGAAACCCCATCCCTTGCTCTAAACAGATTTCTCATGAAATGTTTTGAACTTTTGACTTATTGTACTGTACTACTTCATAAAAGTTCACAGTCTACTTTTTTTTTTTAAGATTTAAAAAATGTTCTATTTTTATAGACTTTGTATGATATATTTGTTTTATCTTTTTCCCCCCCTCATGATTACAGCAGTCTGCACTCAACTCGCATCAAGCCCAACATGGAGCCCCTTGGCATTGCGCCCAAATTGTGAAAAGAAGTCTGCATCTGTCAAAAGCAAGAAGCACCAAAACGAATCAACACAGTCGCTTTTCCACTGACGGTTTGAGAGGCATAGAGCGGCAGGGAAAACGATGAATTCATTCACTTTTGCCACCCAGCCCCAGCTCATCAGTCCCTCAGTCATGAACGCAGCGACTATAAAAAAGGAGAATGTGTCGGAAGATCCACCTAAACCTGCAACATTTTACCGAGATACCTCCATCCGGCGTGTCGATGATGAGGACACAAAAGAAGGTGTGAAGTTGGAAGGGATAAAAGACACAGGCTTGGGTGATAGAGGAGCATTGGATGTGCATGTAAAGAAGGAAGAGGTGGAGGAGGAAGAGCAAGGGAAGGAGGATGCAAATACAAATGAACCAAGTGTAGACATTTATATCAATAACGTTGTGTGTGCTTTTGGTGTGAGATGCCATCTAAATCTACGGAGGATAGGGCAGTATGGTTCCAATGTGGAATACAGGAGAGAATATGGGGTAAGATGGAATTCACTTTCTTTTCTTTTTCATTCAATGATGGAGATTAAATGTGATGCAGACTTTGTTTGCAAATCAATTTAAATTTTTTTACTTTTTTGTCAAAATGCTTTTTAAAATGTAAGAAATTGTGCAGTCATAACTAAACTGTATTTATCTTGTTAATATCCATTACAGGATGTTTGATGAAAATCTGTGATTTGACATTCAATAAGCAGATATTGCATGGTACAGGTGTACTCAGTGCATATTTTAGTGTCTCATTGAGGTTGTAAAACTTATTACAATATAAACAAAATGTTGTTTTATGAAGGTTTTATTTCAAATTAAAAAAACTTGCGTTGTCTCTTTCAAAAGTCTAGTAGAATCCAGACTCATTGCAGGACCCAAATGCCTGTAATTCTTATACCGTAAAAGCACTTACAAAATGTATTTACCGGTAATTCTACTGATATTTAGACAAGTTATCAGGTATCGTTTGTTTGTTTGTTTCTTTTGTTTATGTTCAATAAAAACAATCTCTGCTTATTACAGAAAGTAAACATGAGGTTCCGCCGTCCATCCGCCACTGCTACCATCTGGTCTTCAGGCAAAATCACCATCACAGGCAATGATAGGTAAATTATATAAATATTGACTGCTTCGAGGGGCATGGTTAAAACTATTGCCCAATGTGATCTGGAAACTGTACTGTGCCCTGAAAAGTTGAGGGGCATAGTGCTGTCTCGAGGAGCTTAAGTTTTAACCACGACCCGAAAAATAAGAAGTCAGTTTTTTTATAATATGTACATGTACCTCATCTCCTGTGTGAAATCTCCAAAAGAGATCACTTCACAAAATATGCCTGTCAAAGCATTCATGTAAAGAGTGGAAGGAAATTTACCCATCATGTAGATGAGGAATTATTGAAAAGGAATGAATGAAACCATTTTTGATAATTTTTAGACTTCTCATTGGATGGACCTTAGCATGTGCACACTAAAAAAGAGAAAGAAATATAAACAAAGATAATTGTTTAAGATGTCACTGTAACAGATGATGAAATGAAGAGATCCATATTCCATTCACATCAGACATATACGTCAGTATGCATTGTATCATGTGACATTAAGAGGAAGAAAATAAGGATTTTGAACCGTAACTGAATGATGCTTTGCTTTTTTAAACTGCTGGCTTTAATCAAAGTCTTAAAATGTTTGTATCATGACTGTTTTGTTGTTTCTTTACAGTGAAGAACATGCTAAGAAGAATGCAAGGAGATGTGCAAGGGCATTGCAGAAATTGGGTTTTAATGTAAGTAACAACTCTAAATTTGTTTGAATATTAACATGAATCTGTCAGCATCTATCTGTACATTTGGAGCAGATTTCTGATATACATAGTGATTTGGATTAAATCTGACATGTAACATGATGGTGAAAATGTTGTTCACATCCATTAAAAACAACTATCTACTGTGCATATGATAATAATATGTACATGTACCACTTACATAGTGCAAATTCTGTCCTAAGACATATCAGTGCGCTTTACATAAATTACATCATATAACATGACATAAAAAAGATACTGCTTAAATTAGAAATATAGATTTACTGTAACATTTATATCCCTTGCACAGCTTTACCTATTAGTTTAAATAACATTTACAATAAACTACAATTATTACTGAGCAACAAAAATTCTGAATAAGAATGTATGCTAGTATGCACTTGAAAAGAGGTGGGATTTCAATTGTTTCCTAAACGGGTCAAATTTGTGCTGGGAGTGAAGAGTACATGTACATGTGGAAGAATTCCATAATGTGGGTGATTGAAATGAAAAGGCTCTATTTCCAAATGATTTGGTCCTATATCTTGGAACGGTTAAGAGATTTTGTGACGATGATCTGAGATTCCTTGAGGGGAGGCAACATAATATCAGTGGGATAAATAGTCCGGGCAAATACCATGAATTATCTAGAACGATAACAAAGGATTCCAGCTGTAGCGCTTGTTACTCACTAAAGATCGAATTGGCACATTACAAGGTTGAATGTACATGACTCATGAGTTTTTACATGAATCCTGAACAGATATCTTCTTATGCACATGTACACTGTACATGTGCCATGGTTTTCCCATGTACAGTGTATATATACATGTACATGTACATGTACATTATAAGGTGTGATGGATACAGGTGTATTTGGAAAAAAGGGAGTCGACAAGGGTATTTCATAAATCATTGCATACCCTTAACTTGCAGGAATGTTTTGGTTCACTCAAATGGTTCCCCCAGTGATAATGCAAGTCCAGTTCATTCAATATTCAATCATGATAACAATAATAATTATGATAAAAGTAATAATAATAATAACAATAGTGGATGCTTGTATAGAGCTTATTCCTGTCATACTTGACACCCCTGGCGCCCCACAGATATTACCCAAGCTTTAGAATGGCTGCCATTATAGCACTCTAGTATTTCAAGGAATTAATTCCTGCCAGTGTACCCATTTACATGTACCTGTACCTCACTGAGGTCAAGTGTATTGAATGTAGATACAGGTCATGCAAAGGACATTTTTGCCGTGGTGGGACTTGAACCGCGCACCATGTGATCCAAAGTTTGTTGACTTATCCCGCTTTGAACGCCACCATTCTTAACTTAGGTACTTCATATACATTGTAAATGCCATTTATTTTCCTGTCCTTTTTCTTTCAGGTTCGGCTTTCAAAGTACAAGGTTGTAAACGTATTAGGAACGTGCTCGATGCCGTTTGCTATACGAATCAGGGATTTTTCAGAAAAACATCAAAATAGTGCAAGGTAGGTTCCTGTTTTCTCCCGAAAGGGAGGGCCTCTCTGGTTAAGCCAATCTATGTTTGCTTACTCACGAACAGTGAAATGTAAATCCATTAAAAAATGTCAATTATTGGTGAAAATAAAATTTTCTCACTTTCCTTTGACATGTATGTCAGTTGAATACATATGATTTAAACTTTTTGTTGCTGTTGTTGTTGGGGGGATATATGTGTGTACTGTGTATTGTATTATTTTGACTCCGATGGCAATCAAATTACTCATTGTTATGGCAAAAAGAGGTCAATTAGATGTTCAATCATGTTCTGAAAAATGGAAGAGAAAGTTTGTTCTTAAACCAGGCAAATTAATTGTGAAGTGTCAAGTCTGAAAGAGCCCACTTTTATCAAATATATTATGAATTGCTGTGAAAAGTGATAGTGCACACTGCACAATCAACATTGAAATTTGCCGAGGGGGACACCTCCTTCCCTCCTCCAGTTCAGTAAGGGTCAACTTTAAAATAACACTTTTATTTTGCCAATATGAGAATACGTGCATCCCCTCTCCCAATCCAGTCCTGGCAAGAATTTGAAATCTTACTTTATTCCATTCTTGATCCAGTTATGAGCCTGAGCTCCATCCTGCTGTCACCTACAAGCTCTACCAACCCAGGGCAACTCTTAAGATCTTCTCTACAGGTAGCATCACAGTCACAGGTAAGTACACTTCTAAGACATGTGGGGGTGTTTCACAAAGATCCCAAGACGAACTTAAATCTAAGTTGGACTTAAACAGTATGGAGAGCCATTTGTAATAAAATGCATTCAAAAGTGAACATTCAAGCATTTTAGACTTTTAATAAATTCCACATCAAGAACATGAAATCCCTGTTGGTAATAGAAAATACTAATAATTTGAATCAATGTTTTATTCCTTGTAAAATAACTTTTACAAATTATTTTCATAGATGCCAGCGACATTCCATAATTGTTAAGTCCAACTTGGAGATACAGTTTACTAATGATCTTTGTGAAACACCCCCCTGATCTATCTATGTCTTGTAGCTTTGAGGCCTTTGGGGCGGCAACAAAATGGCCCTTATGACTTGGGTTCTCCACACAGGTTCACAGGTTTCTGCCACCAGCTGTTCTAGTTACACATGTAGCTGCTCAAACAGCATTTCCATTCCCTGCTTGGTATTATCAGTCCATGTAGTAGCTCTGCCCTTCTTTTCCCATTAGTTCCTCCTTGTAATATCGTGTTTTCTTCCAATATTCTTCCACCTAGTTACATGCCCAAATCACTGCGGTGGTCTTTCTTTTTGTGATGAGTTGATCATGTTTCTTGAAATGTACGTGAAGACTAGGGGATATGACTCTTGATAGCGCAAGTAAAAAATGGAATGTTTTGTACCTGTTAGCTGTTGTACAAAGTGGGCAATAGAATAGGATGTGTGGCATAGCAGGTCACCATAGGAAATTAGATGGGAAGTTATATAAGGACCTACATGTAGGCTGTATTTGTATTTTAAAAGTAGAAGTATATCATAGGACAATAAGTTTGCCCTGTAGTGTCTATATTCATTGACTGAATGATCATATTTGGCACCTTGTAACTTGTTTTTTTCCCCAACACGTCTAATGTAATCTTGTATCCTGTGTTTTTTCTTTTTCTTGATAACAGCCCCAGCTGTAGGCAACATCAGCGAAGCCATAGAATTTATATACCCCTTGGTTGAAGCTCATAGGATGCCACTCAGCGAGGCAACTATACAGAAGAGACTAGCCAGAAAGCGCAAATGGGACGGAGATGTCGAGGAAGATGAAGAGAACACAGACGATGAGTACGCCAATGAGGGCGCCAAAGACGAAGACGACGACAGTGACGAGTGTTCATCTGATGACAGCAGTTGAAAGAGGAATGGACAATTAGCAGCTGTAGAGGGCTGCCATCAGGGTAGACGTTGAAGAAAGAGGCTTTTCTGTCCCGTCGCTCATCTCAAACTATTTCAATCCGGTTTCAATGCAGAAAGCCACAGGGTAGCTTGTGATTGGTGAATGTGGAGAAACAACTGTTGTGGTCCTATATGTTGGACGTCCTCAAGAGAAGATTTTTTTGGCGATTGGATGAAACAGACGCGCAAGAGAGAAAGACTATAAGCCTGAATTCACAACCGTTTGATTTATCTACCGCATGGTTGGTTTAAACCTTAACCATGGACTAAGAACCTGAATGAGCGTATAGGAGTGTTTACAATTTAAATTGCCTGACTATGGCAAATAATATACTTCTGGAGGCTAATACAATGGGGTAAAGTGAGGATTCTGCCCTGCATATCTAAAGGCCCTCTTTAAATGGAACCCTAAGTTGAGAAGAAATAACTGCAGTGATCAAAACAAAATGTTTTAAGTTTAATGACACGATGCTTCCATGTTAAGAGTCCAGATATCATCATTGCAGTCTTATCAGTTTTTTTAAATGTCATAGATGAAGCTCAAAATTCAGTATGAATTGGAATTGGCTCTCAATCAGACACTCAATGATGTGGAAACGTTACATGATACTCTTAATTTGTTATTAAAGTTTATGAAAAATATGGATGAGATAAAATTACATCATGGTATAGAAATAGTAATGATTGTTTAACCCTGCAACTCAATTTTGAATCAACATTTGGTCTTACATGTACCTAATCAGAGGACTTTACATGTCATGCCTCCAGTACCAGAGGTATGGCCGGAGGCATTAATTTGAAATGTACTTTAAAGAAATAATCCATCAAGTATACATGTATGATTGGACTTGGCTGTACACCATCTCTTCAGTCACTGCAGAACAGAGGGTACATCTTAATCCGTAATGTGAATCAGAATATAATGATAACAATCTTCTTTTATAAAGTGGCCAATACATCGATTCAACGATGTGTCAAAGCGCTTTACAGATATATTATTACCCCGGTCATCGGATTCAGGCTTGCCCTTACACAATGTATGCACATTCTCCACTCCCTGGGGAGCATTCCAGGCCAGTCACCATTTCACAAGCGCACACTTGCTCATCCAACCATATTAACGTTTGCATCCTACCGGGTACCTATTTAACACCTGGGTGGAATGTGGCAAATGTAGATTAACGTCTTGCCAAAGGACATTAGTGCTGCGGCAGGGCCTCGAACCCTGTACCTTGTGATCTGCAGTCGGATGACTTATCACCTAGACCTCTAAATTATTCCTGTGTAACATCTCACTCGTTGTACTAGAATGGTTTGTTCCAGTAGGGTCGTGGCTGGATGCTGACCACTACCTTGACCTCAGTTACGGTCTTCATGTAAGTGGCTCTAGTCTACTTGTAGATCATGATATCCTCTTGGTTTGGTCTGGAATTAATGCCAATGTAGTCTTAGAACTTCAAAGATGATAGCAAACCAAATTGCTCTGAACTGCCGGTTGGGATCAATGGACAAAACCTACATTTCACATTAAAAAAGGGCGCCACACAAACTTTTGGGGGGAGGGGGTCCGTATTTAACTTGTGTACGGTCTGTATGCAGGAGACCTATGTCAAAATATCACAATTTTGGGGTACGTGCTTGGATTTGGGGGACCTCCATGTGCCCCAAGGTGCCTGTTTTTAGTGTTGGGCCTTCTTTAAATCAAAGACCATGTACTTGAATATCCTTTTGATAAGTATCCAGCAAATTTATTGCTTAATGCCCCACTGTACCACTTGTAGCTACTTGCTCCCTCTATATAGAAAACAATGCCTAATCGGTGATCATTGGTCCCCCATGATTCTCTTTTTCTTATGTTAATTGAGAGCTGAGTTGATGAGATAGCCACCTGTCAATGACCACCCTGGGTGGTCTAATCCCTCCTAGCCAAACTAGTACAGACGGCCTTTAAGACATCTGAAAAACATAATTGTGTAAAAAAAAATGCCTCTGTATAAATACTAGAAAGGCCAAGTGTCACTTTGAATAATTTAGGTTCACAAAGATGACATAGTAGTAACAATGTAAATTGTTTAAAAAAATTACAGGAAAAACAAGAGGTAATCCTGCAGCTGGATTAAAAGAAAACAAAGGACATCGTCAAGCTATAAATGTAATTTTGACATGAATATGAATGGATACGTGGTGATTTTGAGACCTGTATTTGCATGTAATGAACTTACCATGATCTGTATGTACCAAGTGCCTTTTGTTTGTAAAGTACGCTCCTCAAGGAGAGCAGATTAAATTAAGTCATTAAAGGACAAGTCCACTCCAAAATAACTTACTTTCAATAGAAGCAGAAAAATCTGACAAACCAATCAAAAAAAGTTTGAGCAAAATCTAATAACTAATAAGAAAGTTATGAATTTTTGAAAACAATGAAAAGCACAAGACAAATTGGGAACTCGCCTATCAGTCTGTGACATCATGTCCTCACTATCCACTAATTGTTTTCTTTATATTGATAATATGAATTTCCTATTTTCCCCCTAAGAATCTTATTTCTTCACACCAGCATCCAAGTTAGATTGACAGTAATATGTTTTTGTGTGGATGCACTAATAGAGTAATTTCTTTTCCAATTCAATCTTGACAAATGTATTTATATAAAAATCAGTAATTATGAATATACAATATTCTGAAAATAGTATCAATTCTTCAAAGTTCATAAAAGATTTTGTGAAAAGTCATGCACGCAATATGATACAAATATAACCCGGGCAAAGGTATGGTGGAATCAAGTTTTGGGGGATAAAAAGGGAACTTAATGGGATTAAGCTACACATGTATATAAAGCAATTGATAAATAGTGAGGACATGACGTCACAAACTGATAACCAAATTGGCAATTTGTGTAGTGATTTTCATTGTTTCATAGTTTTACATACTTTTAAAAAATTCATAACTTTCTTATTAGTTATCCGATTTTGCTCAAACTTTTTTTTGATTGGTTTGTCTGATTTTTCTGCTTCTATTGAAAGTAAAAAAAAATTGGAGTGAACTTGTACTTTAAGAAAGATTGCATGAATGCAGTTCATGGGCATTAGTACGCATGGATTGAGATTTAAACTTAAAGTATTACAAGGTTGACATGATTGCTTTTTTAAAGACGAGGATTGTTATGATTATAAAAGCAAAACAAGAAAATGTGAATATGTACAAAAATAAAAAGGAACTTTTTTATGTGATTTGTCAACCAGGATGTAGGAACTTGCTACAAGTTGAATTAGAAGAAAAAATGTGTTTACCGGTAATGTCTCAATTGAATAAATGTAGATTTTGGAGGAAATGTGAAACGAAAAAAATGGAGAAAAAAAAATGTTTGTTTTGGAAGTAATGCTTGCTGCTATGCTCTTGCATAGCGCTACACAATTCTCTTCTGCTAAATGTTTGATTTGTTTTGCCTCGGTTGAACCCGATTGTTTTTATTTTTATATCATCGTGAACCTGTTCTGTCCATGTGTACTCCTGAATTTGATAAGTATTTGCTAACAATTTTTGTAGACATTTGATGTGTAGGAATTTTGATACTAAACTGAAAGAAAAAAATTCTGGTATTTCAATTTTTGTTTGTCGATGTCAATTAAAAATTTCTATTTCAATTATTTATGGAATTGATTCCTTGAAATGGCAGCCGTGCTAAAGCCGGGATCATAGTTGTGGAGTGCCAGGAAGGTCTAAGCTGACAGACATGAGCGTTAAACAAGAACCCCCAATAATTATTATTACACTTTTTTTCTTTCCTGAAGTATAAAATGACTTAATTCTATTGCAACTACAGTGATATTATGAATCAAATGAACTTAGGAATAATTGAAAACTTTATACATGTACATATATGTGTACAATGTATATTGTGCATTGTATTCAGAGCTTACAATAGGATTCCTTGTGAAATAGTCTATTTTCTTTCATGGTACTGCTTTATTTCTTGCCTATTTTGTATTATTGTAATCTTTGTATTGACTTGTTTTATATCCTTTCTATTAAGTTCAAGTGCAGTGAAGAATATGAAGCATCACCCCCCGCTCAAAACCTATCGAGTACCGAAGCTGTGACATCATAAAAATCCATCTCTGGAATTTCTTATAACATTACAAGCCAAAGCAATATAACACTGAGTTCCCATAGGAAATCTATTTATTCAGATGGTCATATCTCGGCCAATTCTTAACCTATTCAATTGGTTTTCAACGTTTGGACATTATCTTTGATATTGAGGAATTCCCAAAATAGATTTTTGATGACGTCACACTTCACCACTCTATAGGTGTTGTCTCATGTGATCCAACTTATTGTATCATTTCCAAAATTGATTCTTAGTTTTTGAGACTGGATAGAATTAAGTCAAAATACAGATTGTTGTCACGCATTATAGATTTTTTTGTTTAAGTTGTATTCCTGAAATTACAGCAACATGTGATGAAGTGATGAAATATATCACACATCTAAATGTACATATTACAGTCAAGCCTGTCTATAATGACCGCCCAAGGGAAACACAAAAAGTGTTCTTTGTAGACGGGTGGTCTTTGTAGACAGTTTTCTTTAGTACATGTTTCAATACGAAACCATTTTCAATGGAAACAAAAAATGTGGTCCTTGTAGACAGGTGGTCACTAATAATAATAATAATAATAATAATAATAATAGCCTAATAGTCCACTCCAAATTTTATTAAACCGAAACGGAAATTCTTTTTGCCCAATTGATCGTGAGCCCGGCAGCCACTGAGCAGCGCCAGATCGACTGTGTTTACAGTGTAAGGCATGCTCATTCAGACTAATGTAGAAAAATACATTTTTGACAAAATTTCAGTTATTTATCAGTTCACAAGAATGAAAGTTTATTTATTTCCCCACTACATGACAAGTCTGGTCTCACTCGACCAATATAGTTCAATTCTGAACTGTTTTTAGTCTATGTACTTGTGTCTTCTGTTCTGTATTATTCATGAAGTTTTTTTAATTTGCATATGAAAGGGTAAACAGCATTTGTTTTTGTTTTTAAAGACTGAATGAATGGTAATAAAGCATGCAGCAGCATATTCACTGAGACAAAAAAAGAGAAATGGGAAGTATATTTCTAATGTGAAAAACATGCCATTTCTGAACGAGATTTAAATGGTAATTTTAATCCAAAATGTGTACATGCATTGCAACACATCCCTTTCTAAAAGAGTGTTAACATGGTGTGTTAATTTTAGAATATTTTTCGATCTAACCAAATTTATTTGTGTGTGAACTTATCTTGTGAATTAGAAATAAAGATATTTCTAAGTCGGATAATGTTGATTTGTCAATGTTTACATGTATATGTTGCTGATTTTGAGCTCCATAATATATTTACGAGGAAATAAAAAATTGTAATTCTAAGTGAGATCAATACTCAGAAGTTATGTCAATTTCATAAATGTAATTGTTGAAAATGGGAGAAAGGGCTCCGAATTCAATAGCTTGAACTAACATTTGTGGGTTTGAAGTAAGTTATCAATATTGTTATTATTATTTTATTTGGCAAAACAAAATGTATACAAAAGAATTACAAAGAATAAAAAAATCAAACAAAACAAAGGATGTAAATCATTTAAAATAAACATCATTATCGTGATTCCCATGAGCATTAACAAGTTGCCAGGAATGGGGCAGGCAAACTAAATCACCGAAACCGTGAA